CTGCTAACACAAAACATGTTTTTTTATTCCTAGCTTTAAAGTGGATATTAAAGTGATTAATTTAAGTGATTGTTTGTTTTTAAAGTTTTAATTAGTTAATTTTCAAATCATATATATGTTTTTTTATGATTGTCTACTGTTGTACTGATAAATATCTCCTGGAGGGTAAACTATATCTTGACTGCAAGTATCAAGCTGTGAAATCCTTAGTTTTCTAGAACTGATAGTGGTTGGTCATTAATTACGATGAAGTTTAACAACTTCTCGGTAAACATTTGAGCTCCGTGGCTTCAGCGATGTCTTCTTCTTGTTCAATCCAAAGCAAGCAGTCTGATTTCGGTCAGCCACGCTCAGTCTGCCCCTCCTCAGAGACGGGCAGATTGAGCGCGGCTGGCCAGGGTCGAGTTGCCCGTTTCGGGTTGAGCAAGAGTAGTGCCCCTCTGAAGTCACGGAGCTCGAATGTCCAATATAAAACAAATTTTACCGCAGTTTAATGTGGCGCTATGGCTCTGCAGACATTGCATGTTGCTATCTTGTTTTGTGGTGTTTCTAGTGTAAAATACTTCCACACAGTGGACATGTTTAGATGAAAAGTTTGTTAGCCGTTAGCCACAGTGCTGCTAACTCAGTCCTCACATTGTAGCTGGCTGCAAACTATGAAATGGATTTCCTGAATGTGAGGTGGGTCTTATTACTCTGGGTTCATGGGACACGCCTCCGTTTAGGAAATCCATTCCATAGTTTGAACCCAACATACATCATGGATCGAAAATCTCTGCAGGTTGGAGCGGAAAAATCAGATACGTAAATTATGCTGGTATCGGAGGCCGATATTGGATCGGCCCCATCCCTACTATGTATAAGACTGAGTTTGTTGCAGCTCCTCAGACAGAACAAGCCTTTTGGATAAAAGACGAAACTTTTCAACAAGAAGAATTCGTCCAGAGGACCTGACTCAACCTTGTTAGATTTATCTACCTGGATTACTGAGCATGCATCAGGGCACTTCTTTGCTATGACTTGAATTTAAAGAATAATAAAAAAAATTTAAAAAGTATAAAAACTACATGATTTATTGCTTCCGATTCTCTACTGT